TATGATCCCATTTCACGTTACATTTTTAACAAAAGTATGACTGCAGTAAGAAAATAAATGGTGAGGAATGCTGTAAGTTTGATCTTTTATGTATTCACAGACTCACTGAAAACACTTTTTTTAGCTCAAGATTTGTGTGATTGTGTCTTTCCCATTCTGGTGAAGGTCTTCATCAATACCAGCAAACTGAAAACATAACAAATGTATATCACTGAATGTCTGAAAACAGCCTACATGATGCAGAATATTAAAATATATTATCAGTGAGCAGGGAAATGGGTACAGTTTGACAGAAACTGTGCTTTTACCTCAATAAAGTCATCAAACCAGCTGGCATGAACTTCCAGGAGCCGAGAAATCTCAGTCCCATCACCACACAGAGAGTTCCTGCAGTGCCTGCATTCAAGGAAGAGCAAAGATTTTTTTAAGTTCAGCAAACTGAACTCATTTAAGCTGTTTAACACCTGAACTCACTCACCTGCTGAAAGCCACACATTCCTGGGGTTTTTAGATGTCAGATAAGCACCCACCGCAGCCAGCACGCCAAACAGGAGCCCTGCGACCAGAGAGGTGACACTGCCTGTGGAGGAGACGTTGTTAGCTGTCATCGAAACACCCCCCTTAATGTTGAACACTGACCTACATTTACCAGAATGCCTTGTAAAGGTAAAGCAGCTAAGTGTGCACTCGGAGCTGCACTACAAATACACAGCTAGCCATAATTCAGCAACTGCGCTCTTCATGAAGGCTTTTATGGTGATTTTGTTTTTCCATCAAGGTTTTATTTTAAAATCTACTTTAGAGACTGAATGCTTGTGTTACAATGAGTTTCTAGATTTTACCTGCAAAGCTTACATTTGAAAGACATTTATTTATCAGGGATTAACCACAAACACACTGAGCTTGTGTGAAAAAAGACACCTTGTGCTGATTTAGCCTCTAGTATATTTTCGTTTGTTGTCCCTTGGCAGGTACAAACAATAATAGAAAGCTAATTTTGGTTCTTCCCTTGTTCACAGTGACTAATTCCACATGTTTGATTTGGGAAATTTTGTTCCCTACCACACCCTTCCTGACAAACTTCAAAGGGGTTTGTCTCTCCTCACAGCACTGAACCTGGGATATGTTACTTGTTGGACAGACATGTAAACCACTACGCTATGGAGCCACTATAATAACAAATATGCTATTAAATAAGAATGCATATCCAAGATACAAGTAGGTTGATATAAAAACAAAAATGCATGCAAAGCCTAAAAATACTGGTGGCTGCCAGTTCTACCCCTCAGACTCCTAATAGATGCATCTATGTTATCAATTTGAAAACCCAGGTCGCCCACCCACCCCACAGGGTGACGACAACACCCAATCTTGAGGCGACAGAAACCCAACTCACACCTTGACCCATGTAACCTTAGTAACTCTACAAGGTAACAATTTAAAGGTTAAATACATGTGTTGATTGACCAAATTTAATATGATTTTTTATCATTTTTCACACTTGATTACTTCTGTAGCACTGGCGTCATAGTTCATTCCCATTTTATTTAGCCAATATGTGACACACTTGTGAAATTTAAGTTCTCTCACAAAATCAGTTTTCCAAGTACTGGAATATACACTCTGAGTGTTTGAATGCTGCCTGTGACCAAAAATATTAAGTTTCCTTCAGATATGATACTGTAGGCTGTGCTGATGTTTTTTTCAAGGAAATTCAAGCTCTCAGGATTTTATGTTGACCCTCAGCCACACCTTTGCCATTCTGTATTCCTGAGGACACAGGAGCAAATGGTTGGTTTAAAAAAATTAATTGACCTATCTTAAGTAGATTTAGGTATTTGAAAACTTCTCCATAGAAAAAGTTTGAAATGCCTTTAACTTCACCACAGAAATATTTGTTTGTGAGGAAACTAATAATAGTAAAGAGCTAAAAATCCGGTAGTTTTTCTCTTTAAAAAATGTGAGTAATCAGCCTGGAGATGGTCAGGCAGGAAGCGTTTAGTCAGCTGGACAAAAATATATGTGTGGATACATTGGCGGCATGCCTCTTGTGTAAAATGACGTTTGATGTACTTAAAGTGGCAGGGTAAAGGTGGTTATCTGTGTCTAAAGTCCGCTTTAACAGGGTTCATATCATGTAAATGTGTCTATTCTAAAAGGCTTTCGCCTACCTGCTTTCACATAACCCACGACCCCTCCTGCCGACACCAGAGCAGCATAGCTGAACCCAATCCAGTCGACAGCCATGAGCATAAAGCAGCAGCTTCTACTGCGACAAACCTACAGCGAGTTTAATTAACACGGTGACCACAGGTCGTTTTAACTGATTACTTTAACTCCTAACTGTAAAGTGAAGCCAAACACAGCCGATTAAAAGACACTAAAAGTTTGAAACACAGTCGTTTCCACTGATTGTCACTTAGAAACTTCCCGAATGGAGAGTTAAAAGTCCTTCACTTCCGGTGGCTTTTGCATGCGCTTTCAAATTAAAAGAACGTCTAATTTCCTGACTCCCCTACAGGAGAAAAAGAGATGACTCACGAGGACAGAAAATGTATTTATTTAAAAAAATACACTCAGCAGTTGTGCTTTATCTCACCTATAACAAAATGTGTACAACATACCAAGATGCTGGCAGATGTCCAGCCTAAGCTGTTTTAAGAAAGGTTCTGAGCTGTGGAGAAAAACAATAAATCTTTGTTACATTTGCTCTGGCACATTACATCATTGGTAGCTTCAGACTCCAGGCACTTCTTTTGCATTTGCCACAGTGTTTGTGCTATGAAGTCTACTTTTATATAGAGTAGCTGTCTGTGTGCAGCCTGGGGAAACTCACAGACAGGGGTCTTATTATAGTCCGCTTTCCTTTTGTTTGACGTGTAACTTTCAGTTTGATTCTACAAGAACTGCCAGTCTTTTGAATGTTATGAAATATTATATCATTCATCTTGTTCTGCTTTTCTTTCATCAGCGATAAGTTCACATTTGATGTAGAACACTGCAGGTCGTCAGAACAAAAATCCACATGTGTATGGGTAATAAAACATTTTATTCTATTTTGCACTGTTCTTTTTCTTCTTCTTCTTGGGCTTGCTCTCGTCTTCCAGGACAACTTCTTCCGTGGCAATTCGGACTCTCTTTGTCCTTAGAAGTTCGGGAAGTAGTTCTGCGGATAAACACAGAGCAGGGTGTTAGCTCAGGTTTACATTCCCTCGCCCGTAGGAAGTGATATTAAGTAGAGAAGAACGGATCAGAATGTGAGGTAATGACTCAATGCCCCGATGAGCGGGTCGCACATTCAGGCGAGCTGAGTGTCCTGCAGAGGACGCCCCTCACCGATCATCATCATAAAGCAGCTGAAGTGTTTCCACAACCTCACCTTCAGATGTTGTTGCCTGAGGTGCTTCTTCCTCAGTGATCTGCTGCTGCATCGGTGAAGTTCTCCTCACAGCAAGGCATGTCAGTCTGGCTGATGTGTTCACTTCCCCAAGGAGTGTGGGAGGTTCCAGCTCCTGGTGGTCAGCAGAAGTATTAGCTCACCGGGATAATCATAAATATACAATTTTATTTTAAACAATTTTTATTTAAATATTTACTAATATTGTCAGCAATATTATTGCAAAAATAAATACATAAATTAATAAATTAAAAAAAAATTAGCATCTATGATCTCTTTTAGTCGACTAAATAAAAAATGCTCCAGGAGAGAAATCCGGAGGACCCAGCTTCTTAGCTTCTTAGTGTCCTTGTGCATACTTAATACTTAACTCAATACTTAACCCCAAATTTGCCAGTATGACAGGCAAAAAGTGCACAAAAGCCCAGAATAAAGGTGATGTATGAATGTGTGCGTGGGTCTCAGTGGCTTGTAGTCTACAACAAGTCCATTTCCACATTAACGAAGAATGCATGTTCTCCAGAAAGCTAATATCAGGATGCAGCGTACCTCTTTAAGATGAATTTTCCACATTTTGATGAAACCATCATTTGAAGCAGTCACCACCACAGAGTAATCATCCACGTTCACACTGTCGACCGTCTTCACTCTGACATCACAAACGGACACAAAGATAAGCTGACTTCTTCTCCCATCATCACGCGTATCAGAATATTGACAGTATGATCTACGCATGATTGGTGGGAAAACAATGAATAAATGAATTCACCTGGTTTCGTGAGCCTTGAAATCACACACCCATTTTGCTTTCTCCACATCACACAACCTCACAGTTTCATCGTCCCCTGCAACGGCCAGGATGGAGTTCTGAAAGATAAGCGGTGGTTGTTTCATGCTTATCCTTCATATAAAAATGCCTCATCTTGAGGGGATCCACTTCTTGAAAATTGACAACAACACTTAATGTTGTGTCTGTGTGAGTCTACCTCTGAAAATGTGGCATTTACTTTGTGTTAGAACTGTAGCCAAAATCTGGGAGGTCTTTTTTGCGTTTCCATGCTCTATTTTAATTGGATAATATGTCATGGTCAGTGAGCTCACGTTTAAAAAATTGACAGAAGCGATCCTTTTGGGGTTTGCGACCGTTCCCGTCACAGTGGCTGTCTCCAGCTCGTAGATGTTCACTTTGTCGTTCATCACGACCACGTATCTGTCCCCGTCTGGTGACCACCTGACAATGTGTGCGTCTGTCAGGTGTGTAAAGAACACAGGTTTGAATCATAAATGCGTCAACAATTTCCTCACCGCTCAAAAGGTTAAAGGGGAGCTTACTCTGTTTTATGTTTTTGATGAACGCTGATCTTCCATTAATGAGATTCCAGGTTCTGCATGGATACAAAGACACAACGGCTGACGTTGTTTATCTGTGCGACGGATCATCTGAGTCATCTACCATTAAAGAGAGCTGTGAAATTTACCTCAGTGTCTTATCGGTCCCAACTGAGAGCGCAAGCTTCCCAGACGGATGGATGGACAGCGATGTCACATGACCTCTGAAAGACATCACAGCACAAAGCAACACTGACGACGCTACCAAACATAAAGAAATAACCCTCTCTGTGTGTCTGTGCCATCTTTCTGTGCGCTTACTTGTGAGCTTTGATGGATTTCAGACACTCCCACTTCTTCGTGCTCCACACACACAAGAGTCCGTCCTCTCCTCCACTCAGTAAGTGAGACGTCCCGTAAAACTCGAGGCAAGTGATGGTGCCTGTGCAGGAAGTCAGTCAGCACCGCAAGCAGAAACCAGGCAGACGTTTACGTTACTGCTTTGACACACAGGTATGGAAGCTTTCCATACCTGTGTGTCAAAGCAGTAACAGTAACAGCAGTTTCCACCACCAAAAAAACCCAAAACAATCTAAACCTCAGGTTAATTTAAATTGCTGAGAAAATAATTTGAAATAAACTGTGTTTAAACAAAATATCAAGTCAGCGCACTTTGAATTATTCAACAGGTCACTTCTATATTAGGTGTTTTTGATGTTTAACTGAAGAAATCAAACAGACTAATTACAATTTACAAACTCACCATCATGATGCAGCAAAGCACCATGCTCGATTCTTTTCTTCATGTTGTACACTTGGATGGTCTCATCTTTGCTCCCCGTAACGACAAACCTCTCACTGGCAGCCACTGCGGATACTGAAGCTGTGTGAGCGTGATGTGTGAATTCTGCTTTGGCTGTCCACTCCTGCATGACAATTTTTTTTAAAGAAAACTTTTTATAACAAAATAATTTATTTGCATATAAATTAATCCACAGACTGTTAGAGAAAAAGGAGTGAGTCACGAAACTTCTTACATTACACTCCTTTCATATACTGGGCAATGAATGTGCTTCATAATCAAATAAATACTGCATTGCATACAAATCATTATTCATTAATCATTATTGAAAAACTATTAAAAACAATTTTCTATGCCTTAATATCTTTTTTTTTAATGGAAATCATAATGTTCATCATCCAACCAACAAACACTTGAGCTTGTTATTATTACAACTTCACACCCTTTATCTGACACACAGGTCGTTGCTTTGTGAGACTCCAGCTTACCTTTTCGTCAGTTTTTACTTGATAACCGAAGGTGATCTGTTCATAACTGCCAGCGACCAGCTCCAACACAGCTGCCATGCTGCTGGACTACAGTGAGCTCAGCTAGCCGGCTAATTAGCTTTCCTTAAAATTTGCCGATTTTCTGAGCAGATTTCCTCGAGCAGTTTGTGTAACAGCTGCTAAAACAGTAATAGAACACCAACAAGAGAAAGGCAAGTCAGTAAAAAGCGTGGCGCCAATGCTCGCACGCGAAAACGGTAACTCTTTTTAGCTAAACACACGTTCAGTCCCAAAATAACATGTGGAGTCACTGCGCTTGCGCAAAAGCACTTTCTTACCATTTGTCGTTAAGGCTTTTTCAAAATAAAAGTCGTCATCGTTCAGTTATGTTTTTTACGTTGATTTTCAGAGACACTCTAAAAGACTG